TCGCCCATGAGGGGGCGACGCATACATAGAATTACTAATACTGTGTATGCGTAATGTAGCAGTGGAAATAATGTTCAAAATGGAGTGCCCACACTGGCACTGCAATGTAACGCAGTGCCATGGAAACCAGATGCGAGCGCCATGCAGCGAGAAGCAACGCAAATGAAAGGCAAGGCAATGCGATGCAATACAACTAAATGCAAAGCAAAACAATGCTCGCCAGCGCAATGCCGTTTGCGGAACCATGCCTATACACATCCGTCGGACAACAACCCAGAGAAAGACAATGCAATACATTGCGGAAACAACCCAAGAGGCCGTACGAATCCAAGGGTTCCGGAACCTCAGGGATCCCAGGGCGTTGCGTTGCGTAGCGCCCGATCGAACAAGTCGGCCCTGTGCAGAGCTCGGGAGAAAGAACAAAAATGCGCCGTCAGAGCTGCACGTCGTCAAACCAACGACGCCGCGGCCGGCCTCTGGCACGATGCGGCCAGCTGTTGTTCAGCGCCGCACATGCAGTAGGGGGCCATTCGTGCGCTAGTTTAGGCAGCGACGGAGCATGGTGGGACATCAGTAGGGATCCCAGGGATAAGATGTGAAAATAAGTGGTGGATGCCCCGGTTCCGCCGTTGGTAAACATCCATATCACGCTAGCGCACCTGTTCGTCCTTCTCATCGCCCCCCCTTCTCATCCTCCTCATCCTCCTCCTCCTCCTCATCATCATCATCAGCAGCAGCAGCATCAGCATCAGCATCAACATCATCCCTATTGCAATCTATCCTCTGGCAGGTCGGCTGGCCATGGCCGGCGACCGTTTAGATTGCCACACTGATTTCTCACGGAGAAAAAGAAAAGTAACGAATTGTCCCCCCCCAAGGCTGCCAGGCAATAACTGTCACAGGTAGCCCCCGCTCCATCGGCCACGCGGCCGGGGCAAGCTATATGTTTTCTAAGTTGGCCATGAGAAGATGGGTGAGAAGCAGCATAGAGGGACTGCGAAAGAAGCTGAAAGTTGCAAATCCCCCAGCGCTAGTTTTTGCAAGCACCCAGGAAGGCTCCAGGAAGGCGCGCAGGGCAGCCACGAGGAGGACCCAGGTCAGCCTAAAAGGGGGATGCCCGAGAAGTATTAAAAGAGCTAGGTCCAACCGTACTGAGTCTCCTTAGATGTTTTTTGGGGCCGCTCTTGGAAGGTTATTTGAAAAATGGTTTGGTCTCTTGGAAGGCATCTCGGAGGTCTCTTGTCATATTTGGAGCCTCTGTTGGGGGCCTGTTGATGCTTCTGGGGAGGGGGGGGTCGGGCGCTCCTGAGGCATCTTGGAAGCCTCCTGGGGCCCTGCTAGCGGTCTCGGGGGGGGTCTTCGGGGGGCGGGCTCGCTCTGTGAGATCGGGTTCCGCCTCTTGTGGCTCTCTTGGGGCTCTCCTGGAACGCTTTTGGGCTTTATTGGAGCGTTCTGGGCCGTCTTGAGGCCCTGTCGGGGACCTCTTGGGCCATCGTGACAGGTTTTGGGAAGCTCTTGGGCTGTCTCAGAGACTTGGAATCGCGAAAGAGCAAGAGCACGAAAATCGTTGAAAAAACGATTGGGGATCAATATTTGTTGCCTCTTGGTGCCTACGGCCCATGCCGCCACCGTTCCTGGGTTGTGGGTTAGGCCTCTTGGAAGTTCGTTGGGACATCGTGCAAGGCCTGTCGGGGGCCTTTCGGGAGCAGGTTTGAAGCCTCCGGGGGGGCGTTTTGGAGCCATATGGGGATTCTTTTGGGCCTCCTGGGTGCCTCTCCTGGGCCTCTTGGAGCCTCCTGGGGGCCTCTTGGGGCGGAAGGCTCGAATTGTCGGCTCGCGTTCCCCATCTTGGGCACCTCTCGAGGCCGTCCTGAAACTCTCTTGGGCCGTCTTGGGCACCTTTTGGGCCGTTTTGGGGCCCTCTTGGGCTGTCTTAGGGGGCATATTGGGGGCCTCTTGGGCCCTTTTGGGGCGAGGTTGGAATCTGGTTGGGCAGTCTTGGAGCGTCGAAAACCAGGTCCTCGCCCCGCAGCGCATGAAGGTCTGCTGGCCGGAAGTAGGCGGTGAACATCGTGATCCAGGCGAAGCGCACGATCTCGCTGCCCAAGGCCTCGTACACGTACAGCGCCAGGCCGCAGACCACTTCCCAAGGCACTGGGAACTTCGCCACGCCGGGGTCGAGATGGCGCGCCCCCCTCATGGCCCGCGCGAATCTTGGGAGCCGGAGCAGGCCCCATGGCGAGAGGTCGACAAGGTGCCACACGACCGCCGCGCACGCCTTCCAGATGTCCGCGACCTCGAACCCCTCCATGAACAAAAAAAAACGCGAAGTCCACCGTGGCAGAGTCTGCACTCTGCACGGCGCCCAGCGCGCACGCCCCCATGGACTGCACGAAGTCCCGGAGATCCCTCCACCAGCTCTCGTCTCTCGTAGAGCGCCAGCGTCCGCTCTGTGACAGCGCGCGACTCCAACATGGAAAGCTGGTCGCGGGTCTCTCTCGGTTGGAAAGGGGGCAATACTCGCGCCCGCTTCTCGCATCGCTCCTCCTGGGTCTCTCCCGAGACCAGGGGGCGGGCTGTTCCGCGGGGCAGCGGGGTCGCCCGCCTCGTGGCCACCCGGCTTGCCGGCCGCGACGGCGGCTGCGCCCTGCGGAGGCCCTGTGGACCGCCGGACCGCGGGGCCCGCGCCCTGGTTGCGCTGCGTCAGCGCCAAGGCCGGGCGGCCCCGGCGGCCAGCGCCAAGCGGGGCCCTTGCGGCGCCCTCGGCAGGCCAGAGCCGGCGCGGTTCTCCCCCATCGCCGCGACTGTGCATCTGCCGCGTTCTTCTCGGACGGCGCCCACCAGAAGTACCAGCTCGAGCCAGTGGCAACGGCGAAAGCGGAGGCTCGACGAAGAAGGGCGAGGATCGCATAGCTGCGAGCCCTGGATCTCTCGAAAGCCACTGCGTTCCCAAGTTGGCCTCCGAGAAGTAAATATCGTTTTCCAAAAGCCCCTGCATGGCGAAGTTTGCACCTCACCCCCAGCAGCGCGGTCCGGCCCTCCTTCGCCGGCACCCCCTCCTCCCGACGAAGCCTCGTCGGCAAAATGACGTGCCACTTGGATTGGTCAGCCATGTCTTCTGCTACTTATTGGGACTTATTGCTTCCTTCTAACATCTCCAACTCGCCCCTGGGGCCCATGGGGGCCACGGCGTCGAGGTCTCTGAAGGGGCCCCGATCTCCGCGACCTCCTGCACTGGAATTACGCGACTGCAACGCCAATCCCGCTCTCGCAGGAGTCAGCGCAAAGGACCTCAGGGTGCCATTCGCGGGACAGGTCGGCCGCGCAGAGGTAGGTAAGCACCCCCCCGCACCTCGCCCCCCTCCTGACAGAGGCCCAAGGCTCGGCCCACTGCCCGCCGACCTTCTCCACGAAGTCGCAGCAACTCCTGAGGCGCGACAACCCTTCCGGCGCGATGATGAAGTGATCCACGACGTGGCCGAGCCACCGCCTGACCATGCGACCAGCCCCTCGACCGCAGCCTTCCCAGTGCCGGCACGCCCGCTGCAGGCGAGCCGCCCGCTCTGGCTCGTTCATGACCAGCCGGCGGGCGCCGCCCAGCTCCCAGCCCAGGCTCTCGCGGTCGGTCGACGCGTCGGTCTCCTCGTGAACCCTGCAGCCGACGCGGCGAAGCTGGGCCACTACCAAAGTCTTGACCTGCTGCACCTTCTCGCGACTTACGCCGCACACGTCGAGGTTGTCGCAATACGGCAAAACGCCCACCCCGCCCAAAAATGTCAAGGAGTGGCCCGGCGTCGCGGAGCTGCCCTTGGCGCCGCCCCTCGAGGGCCACTGAAATATGGTTCTCAAACGCCCTCTGCCCCAGGAAGAAAGTCCAGGACCACTCCACTGGGACTGCGACAGCCCTCGGCCACGCTTCTCGAAGGCCGGAGCGGCGCGCCATTGATCGTAGCTCCTCGGCCCCGGGTCAATCTGTGAAGCCCCTTTCAAACTCCTCCAAGGTCAGGGAGGGGTAGCAAAAGTAATCCTTGAGCTCGGCGGAGTTCTCGAGGCTGCGGATATTATCCTCGACGTCGGCCCCGGCGAAGTACAATAGATGGTCGCCAGCGGGCCGCTCGACGCGGGCCCAGGCCGCGCCCGCCCCCGCGTCGAGGCCGGGCGCTGGACGGAAGTGCAAGCTCGACCACCTGCACTCCAGGATGAGCCGAAGATTATTGTTCCCATATCGACGATTCTCGGATGAGCCAAGATTCTCGACGAAGAACGAAGCGCATATCTCCTTTGGGGCGACAGAGAAGTCCACCAGCCCAGCCCCCAGGACGTCTGCGTTGAATCCAACGTAAGCTGACCGATCTCTGCGCGGCACCTCGTCCATGTAGAACTGTTGAGGCGTACCTGACTCCATCTGCCACCCAACGTTATCTGGGCCTGAGAGCACGCGTTCATCCGACCGCTCCGACAAAGTCCTCTCTGGCCTCCCGCAAGCGGCACTGAGCGGCACTGGGGACGCACCAGCTACGGGCATGCATACCAGAGAGTGTTGCTAGGGTCCGACGGCAGTAGCTTGATCGACTCCCGCGTAGTCGATCACAGCGAGCATGAGCTCATTGCAGGCCCCGTGCCTGGTCCACAACGATACGTTGCATGGCAGCTGCCCCGCCCTCAGGAGGACGGAGCCCCGAGACGTAAGATGGGCGAGACTCGGACCGGCCGTGGCCGAAGCCCCAGGAGCCGCGCCTGCCACCTCATTCAAAACTTCGAAGACTTCTTTTGCCCTCTCCTGGACCCCCCCCCTCGCAGCAGTCGCCGACGAAGGTAAGAAGGCGTGCCCGGGCGGATAGCTGGCCCCGCCAGCACAGGTGGAAGGGGATAAAGTTCCCGAGGCCGACGCCGTCGCCCATCGCGATGGGCCCCCACATGACTCGCGAATGAATTCTGACGCAGCGCCTGCTTGCTGGGGCGGGTCGGCGCTCTCCCGCCCCCGAGGCCAGCCGTAGGACTTAGCCATTTCCGTTGTCGTCGTCCTTCTTCTTGTTTGGGTTCCGCTTGCGCAGGCGCTGCTCCTCCTTGGCCTTCCTCATCTCCTTGGCCACGGCTGCCTCCCCGCGAACCTGCCCGGCCACGCGACGAGACGGCCCCGGACCGCCTGGTCGAGCAGCCCATGTAGTGCTCCGCCGCGCTGTAGTCAGCGATGCCGCCGCATGCGCGCGCGCCCTCGATCGGCTGGAGACGCCGGCTGACCAGCTCCGCCGACATCAACGCCAGCGCGTTCAGCTGTTCGACCGTGCACATCGCCTCCATGATGTGGGAGAGCGCCTCGTGCTCGTACTGGCTGCGGTCCCCGTCCGGAATCCAAGCCGCGCCGCCAGCGCTCGCTCTGCGTGATCGGCGTCTGGCTGGACACGGCGAGCTGCTGCAAACGGTTGAAGCACATCCTCGGCCCTGTCAAATCGAGCCCCCCCTCCGGCTCCTCTCCCGCCATCTTCTGGACGGACTCGGCGAAGGGGCGACGACGTTGACCAGCGCCGTCGAACTTCACTGGCAGTACGCGGAGGTCCTCCATGACATACTGCTCCAGATTGCGCCGTTCGACCATTTGAATGAAGGCGGTGCCCTCCTGGAGCTGCATGAGCCCGTGGTTTCCCATCGTCAGTGCGCCGGCTGGCAGCGCCCCGACGTCGGCAGTACTGCATCGCCTCGCCGATGGCCCTCGCAATCCTCGGCGCACACCCAAAGGCGGCCTGGCGGCGCTGCCGCCGCCGCCGCGCCCGCGGGGACGGCTCGGGGAGCCGCCGCCAACTCCGCACCTAGGGCTGGCATCTGCCTCTGCTGCAAAGCCAGAGGCGGCGCGATGTTGCCGAGCATCAGCGCATCGTCCCTGTAGTACTGCCGCAGCACCTGTGCCGATGGCACCTGCTGGAATCGATACACGCGGCGAGCATCGACTCCTGGCGGGGTCCCCCCTTCATGCCGATCCATCGAACCTCGAGCACGTCGTCGCCGATCTCGATGCGCTGGGGGTAGTGGTCCCCGTCCGGCGTCGCCATCGCGATCGTCGTCGGCGTCGCAGCCGAGACCCCTGTCATCAAAGCCTCATGATAGAGGGGCTGCCCAGGCACGTTGTAGAGCAGCAGGATGTAGTCTCCGGGCGCCGCCATCACTCCGACGAGTGGGTCGACGCGGGGCCCGCCTCGGGCGCCGACCTGAACTGAAGGCGGCCCGCTGCCGGGCCCTCTCGGCCTGCTCACGGGCCCTGGCGACCACCTCGGCCTGCTCGCGCGCGCCGGCCACCGCCTCGGCGCGCCCCCGCCCGCGGCGACGGCACCCGTCCCGCAGGCACTCGTTGAAGCGGACGGCAAGGTGGAGGACCACCGTGCCGAGAGGGCCCAGCGCGAAAGCCCACGCTGGGGGCACCTCTGGGCACCCTGGGCAAGGCGGGCACGGCGGGGGCTTCTCGCACCCCGGGCACGCCGCGCAGGGCGGCGCTGGCCCGCACGCCAGACAGGCCGGGCACGAGCAAGGGGCCGGCTCGCACGCAGGGCTAGCTGGGCAGGTGAAATACCAGGCAGGGCAGCTCAGCCCGCCCGCGGCCCACGCAGCAGCCGCTGACCCCGCGCTGGGCAGCGCCTGCTCGAGGAAGTGCCAGCCCAGGGCCGCCCAGCCAGGCGCAGCCACCAGCGCCAGCTGCCCGTGGTGCCCAGGAGCGGCAACGCACGGACCCCAACTCTCCCCAGATCAGCTCGAGCCCTAACGAGTACGGAAGAGGAGGGCGTACAGACTGCAGAAACAAGTGGTGCAAGCTACTTCTAAGCTGCTACATTGAAACGCCACTGCGTTGATTGAAATGGTGCGAGAGGACGCGCAAACAGCGCTGGAAAAACTGGAAAGGGAAAATTCCGTACAAACACATGTTTTGTATGAAATGTTCCCCCCTTGAGCTTTTTCCAAAGAAAACAACTCTGTAAGCATATGGCATACTCACAGCTCAGAGGGCCCTTGGATCATCTTGCAGGTGGTGTTATTTGCAGTACGTGTGGCGTCTTCTCACGTGAGCATAAATGTGCACGCACAAGAAAATGCCCCTCTCTCCCTCAGATAATGCTGGGTGAGAACGTCAAAGATACGAACAAACGTGCCATAGCAGACCAACACATACACATGCTATTGACTCATTGCGTGATGAAACTCGTGGGCCATCGAGGGTTCTTCGGGTTCTCTCTTTACCCTTTTCGAGACCTCGTGGGAGCCTTCTGAAAGTTTGCCGGGAGCCTTTCGGGGGCCTCTTGGGGCCTTCTTGGGGCCTCTTGGGGTGCCCTCTTGGAGCTGTCTTGGGCGGTATGGTAGCCTCTTCGGGCGCCCTTGAAGCTCTATGGGCGCCTCACGGAGGCCTCTCGGGAGCTCCTTGGAGCGCTTTCAGGGCTCCCTGGGGAAAGTATGTTGGCCCTCTCCCGAGCAGCTTTGGAGCCCACCTGGAGCGATTTCTTCGGGCGCTCTTGAAGACCTGTGGGCGCCTCACGGGAGCCCCCAGGAACGCTTTCGGGGTTCTCAGGGTCACATTTGCTGGGCTTCTTCTGAGCCGCTCTGGAGCCCACCTGGAGCGATTCCAAGATGACGTTGGCTCGGAGCCTTCCCCGGAGCCCATCTGGAAACGTCCTCCGCGCAGAACCAAAGGGCCTGTTTTGGGCGGAGGACGTTTCCAGAGGTTTTCGGGCAGCGTTCTCAATGCACGTCGCAATCTGAACGGGTGGCGGAAACTGAAGTTTACTTGCACATGCCAGGTTCAGTTTGAATTTCGACTTCGACTCCGAGTGAGACTGAGAAGGCTGGTACACTAGCCCGCACAAGAAGAGCAACTGGACTGGGATGTCCCAGCGGAAGCATCCAGGACTCCACCCCCCCTACTCGAAGGGGCTGGTCGGGTCAGCTGGGGGGCACGCAGCTGGGAGACACGAGCGGGTGGGTCGGGTCGCACGGGCGGGACACTGAAATACGTCCCTCTCCCCCTGACCCCCCACCCCTCTATGGTGCTCCATGCTCCTGCTCCTGCTCCTGCTCCTCCTCCTCCTCCTCCTCCTCCTCCTCTTCCTGCTCTCCTGCTCCTGCTCCTCCTCCTCCTTCTTCTCCTCCTCGTCCTCCTCCTCCTCCTCTTTCTCCTCCTCCTCCTCATCCTCCTCTTCCTCCTTCTCTTGTTCCTCCTCAGATTCCCCCTCGTACTCCTCGTCCTCGCCCTCTTACTCATCCTCTTCCTCCTCCTCCTCCTCCTCCTCCTCCTCCTCCTCATCCTTATTCCGCCTCCCCCCCTCCAACCTCCTCCTCCTCCCCCTCCTCCTCCTCCTCCTCCGCGCGCCTCCTTCCTCATCCCCATTGTGCAAACTCCTTCTGTTCAACCCTCGCCAGAACGGAAGAAGGAAAGAAGAGGCAGGAGGGAAGCCGAAAGAGAACGAGTAAGGTCGGAGAGCTTTTTTTTCGAAGGTGGCCAAATTGACAGTAGCATGACAGGGGCATTAGGCATAACTCGGAGGAAATGACTAGGAACGCGGCTGTTTCAGCATCGCGCCACAGCCCGAAAAGGGGGGAAGAGTGTGGAATGAACGCGTGGAGGCCGTGCGGATGGACATTGGAGGGGGCCGAATCGAGGGGAGTGGGGAGAGCAGGGTTTCGTGGATGTGCGAGTGGAAGAAAGAAGGGGGGGACGGGCACCACTTGCAAGTGTGTGGTGGGACAAGAAGCGACAGACCCCTTGTGGCATGGGGACCAGGCTCGGACAGGTTCGATTTGTTTCCCTGCAGGCGTAGATCTGTGCACGTGCGAATGTGAATATGCGAATGTGTTCGGACGCTTGGCATGATGGTTGTCCTGGCGGGTGTCCGGATGGCTGTCCACGTGGTACTCCCGACGGTTGTCCCAACGGCCGTCCCGACGGTTGTCCCTGCGGTTCTCCCGAACAGAACTGGACAGAAAAGAACGTAACAGTATAGGGCGGAAACAGAAGAGCAGAGTGCATCGCGGACGAGCACTGAGCAGCGCGGGGCATCGCGGTGCAGAACGCATCGTGACAGAGAAAGACAAATCAGAACTGACGAACAGAAAAGGAGGGGTTGCCCCATGCGTGGCATGATGGATGTCCCGGCGGTTGTCTCGATGGCTCTCCTGGTGGCACTCCCGATGGTTGTCCTGGCTGTCGTCCCGACGGTTGTCCCGATAAGTGTCCCGATGGACATTCGAAGGGCGGTGGTTGTCCCAATGGTTGTCCAAACGGGTGTCCCGGTGGTTGTCCCGACGGGGGTCCCGACAATTGGGCCCAATGATGGTCGCGACAAGCCAAACCGGGAAGAACAAAAGAAACGGCAAACGCACAGAACATAACAGGACAAAGCAGACAAGCACGGAAGAGAACAACATAGAACGGAACAGAGGAGCGTAGAACAGAAGCAGAACAGCGCAAGGCATCGCGGACGAGAAGTAAATACCACATGGCGTCGCTGAACAGGATGGAGCGCAACCTAACAGCACAGAACAGAACGGAAGATTCCCCGACGTTTGTTATGATTGATGTCCCGGCGGTTGTCCCGATGGCTGTCCTGGTGGTAGTCCCGCAGTTGTACTCGCGGTCGCTAAAACGGTTGGCCCTTCGGATTTCCGCGTGGACGTCCAGATGGGAACAGAACGAAGCAGCACAGAACGAATTGTACAGAACATAACAATACAGAACGAACAGAAATGCACAGACAATAACAATACATAAAATCACAGAACAGCGCCGCGCAGGACAGCGGAGAACAACACAAAAAGCAGTGTAACTGAACAGCACATGGGTTCGCGGAGCAGACCAGGGCAGAGCAGCTCCGAACAGAACAACCCAGCACAGAACCATCAGGAAAGAGCAGAACAGAACATATTTGCACAAACCATAACAAGACACAACAGACCAGCACGAAACATAATTTGCCAGAGCAGAACGTAACAGCGCACAACAGGAACAGAACAGCGGAAGGCATCGCGGACGCGTAAACATAACAGAACAGGAGAGAACGAAACGTAACAGAACGTAACAGTACACAACAGGAACAGAACAGCAGAAGGCATCGCGGACGGGTAAAGATAACAGAACAGAGGAAGCCAGCGCGGAACAGAACGAGGCAGAACAGAGCAGGACAGTATGTTACAGGAGCAGAACATCGCCGGGCATCGCGTACGCGCACAGAGACCAGGAGGAATCTGGGCAGAGAAGCAGAAAAAGACAATACAGCACAGGACACTACAGGATAGCAGCAGGACAGCAGGTGTCAAGGCGGACGATTACACATGAGCACAAGGCATCGGTGGGC